TTGGAAAGATTGGTGTAATTAAAATTTTGTAAAGTTTCAACCAGGTAAAATAAGATGGCGGGCAGGTTCTTTTGCTGAGTTTGTGGAACGTTCAACTTGCCTACCAATTATGACATCACCAGCAAATAATTAATTTCATGTCAAACATTGCTTAAATTATATTTTACTACTGGATATAATTTGCTTTTCAATATTTTTATTTTTAAAACAGTCAAAAATTATTGCTATTTGGTCTACTCTACTTCAAACGCAAATTAAAAAATGATTGTTACGTTTTAATCACGTTAGCTTACGTGACCTATTCCTATATAGGTATAAATGTATACAGTATATGCGCCTAGATAGATAAATAGATAGATAATTATAAGATATTTTGATACATTGATTTATTTAGTTTGCGTTTTTAAAGGTATGTCGTACGGACATGTATAAAATGTATAAAAACATTTTAAAAGGTTTGGGTTTGTTTAAAATTAAAAACCTTTAAGATGACAAATCACACATATATCTAGGGTAATGGTTGAATTTGATGAATTGGTCGTTGGAGTAAATAAAAAGCAGAAACTTAACGGAAACATAACCAACTCAATATACACATATTAGCATAAATATTAGCGTGATTTGTGGTGTAAAATTAACTGCTGGTAGATCGATTATTAAATGAAAGTTTATTCTTTCCATTTATTTAAAATCAAATAGCATTTACAAGTTATTAATAAATTTGTGTCTAATGAATCACGGCTAAGTCATTTCATAGATATTACCGTTAGATCATTCATCAAATTAATTAATTCATCCATTTATATTTTCTCTTCTTTTCTCTTTCTTTCTCTCTTGTTTTTCACCCACTCTCTTTCTCTCTCTCTCTCTCTCTCTTTCTTTTTGTATTTATAGCAATAACCTACTTTATTTAATATTTCTATTTATTTATTAATTAATATTATTGTGTTCGTTTCATTCGCATCGTTATTCTGTGAATACTTAAATACATTAGGCTTAGGGCAATAATTATAGTAAACTGCTCAAATATGTGAGCTCTTAAATATGATCACCTGAAATAGAACACGAGAGTTAACAAAAGCATCCAATTTAAACGATCTCACGCCACATTAACTTCCATAATAACACGACAAAGAGACCACTGTAACTTGATCACCTTATTATTTCCGTTAAATTTGCACTTTCTTTTCAAAAACACGCGAAGATTGTTAATGCTATTTATACTTTAGATGAAATGTTGCTTTTTATTTTGTTCTGCTGGTGTTGTGGTCGTTTTCAATTTGCGCAAAAAATTGAGAAATGTAATTTTGTTAAATCCAATAAAATTTGAACGTTGGAGGAAAAATATTGAAATTATTTAAAAAATTTTCATTTTTGAAAATAAAATTTTGTCTATATAATTATAATAGTTATAAAATGAAAAGCCCAAGCAAAAAATGAATCGTATCGCAGAATGTATGGATACGTGATAATATCAATAAAAATGTGAACAAACACACCGATCCGTTTAGTGGTTAAGCAACACGTTCATGTTGCTGTGTGACAATGAGAAGATTGCTTCCAGTACATGATCTACTACCTTCTATATTGGACAATGCACAAGGTTTAGGCATGTTGAAAAACAAGACTGAAAAAGGTTGAATATTTTAATTAAAATAAGTTTATAAACATAAAATTTGTTAAATAATAATTTCTGCAATTTTTAGACAATCTTCTTAAAAACATTTTTCAGAAGAAAAAAAAACTGGATCACAATATTAAAGTGAAAGTTTGCAAAAACATGTCGATAGTACGGTATAATTGGAACGCCCCTTGACAGGAACACTGAAATGGTGCATGTTATTCTTATTCCCTGTTTACAGCACAAACTCATTGTTGAATACTAATATTTGAATGCAAATGAATATGAAGAAAAATTAGAACAACGTTAACAAAATCAAACTCAGGCATAGACATAGAAAGCCAGTTTTAGAAAAATAGTTTATTTTTATTTAATAATGAGTTCAAGTAAAAAATTCATATGTTGGTCGTTGGATGTCATTTCATTTCCTATTTCGTTATCTTTTTCAAGGAGGAGGCATTCAACGAATGCAAATTTAAGTCAATAAATGTGATTTTTCAATACAGTACATATACCTACAGTAGGAAATCAATTTAGCACGAACGGATGTTAAAACTAAGTAGCAGTTTTCAGTTTTAAAACTCAAAAGTTCTTCCTTTCTTTTTTCTTTATTACATGCATATTATAAGATTTAAAATGGCCCATTCTCTACATAACACTTATTTATTTCTTTAGTTTAAATATTTATTTATTTATAAAAAAGCGTGACACTAAAAATTGCTTACATAAAAGCGAGACCATTTTTGCTTCCTGGACTTTTGCAATTTGTTCATTCATAATAACAAACACACGCGTATTATAATAAAAGCTGCCTAAAAGCAATTTGCACATGACATTATCAGCGAGAATTATTATCATCATTTTCAACTTAATCGTAATGGTAGAAGAGTGGCTTCAAAATCATTTTCTTTTTACATAAAAAAGTAATTTTTATTACACTGCATAACCTATTAGAGGAACATTTTGTCTAAAACATCATTGAAAATTTTCTATATAAATAAGCAAATGAAAACTCAAGTTAAATAAACGTCTATTATAAACTTATTAATGATTTAAATGGGCTCAATAAATAATAACCATGGAATTTTAAACTGACGTCCAACTGTTGCAAACGTCATCCATTGCATTCTTAATTAAACAACAGTCTGTCTGTTCAAATTGAAAGCATAAGATGACGAAACATGTGATTATAGTTTTTAAAAACGACGTTGGGCGATGCAATAGCCTGATTTAAAAAAAAGCCTGGTCTGGCCCTGCTTCGCAGTGACATGTTGCGAATTCATAAAAGGACCTCGCCGATCACATGCTTTTTTGTGATGTGTCATTTAACGTATTCATATAATGTTTGTGTTTTAGATAGATGAGTGTGATGAACTATTAATCTATTTTTTTAATTTTGGACATTAAGGTACTAACCTTTATCTAAATTATTCCCAATGTACAACTGAACTTAAACACTTTAATGCTATATCTGCTTTTGCTTTTTCTGATCCTATTTTCTGGAACTTACTTCTTTCTTTTCTAATAACTCCTCTGTAACTTACGAAGTTCAAGGCGGATCTCAAGACAAATTTGTTTGTGCAAAATTCATCGAGGAGCACTGTTGAACATCGCGGAAATAGCGCTTTATAAGTTAATTGATTGATTGATTGATTGATAGAAGGGTTATTATTGACTGAAACTAGTTAGATGACACTGTTCAGTGGATTCTAAAAGATTTTCAAGAAAAGACTACCAGTTAAAGTAGGTCATTAAGTGTAACGGCTCTTAGAGTTGAAGTCTTTTTGCCTCTTCTTAACATTAAGGCGACTATTTTGTTTATCCAGGTTTTTTGTGAAAAAAACATTATTCCATATTACAAATGTTTATTTTCGAAGGGCGGCGGCCAAAGTTGAAATGTTTCAATACTTAAAGATAAATTATTAAAAAATGATCACGCAATGGCTGCTGTCCAAAAGCCTTCTGAGAACATCTCTTTCAATATCATATGACTGAAATTTATAATTTTGGAAAATTCTCGAGTTGATGCATCCAAATTTTTGTACCATAATATAAAAATATATTGAAAAATACAACAAATCTCTTATAGTAGATTTAAAAATTTGAAGTTTGTATACGAAAAGAAGAAATTATCATTTTAGTGAATATAAAATTTATTCAATAAAGTAACGGAAATCAAATAAATGATAATAAAATATGAATAGATGAAAAATACAAGCAGTTCAACTTAGGCTGCAAGGCACCACACTACGATTTAAAAATATGATAAAAGTCTGTCAGATTATTATAATCCAATAAATACGCATATACACACATGAACTGAACCACCACCATACAAGAAAAATCTCAAAGTTTAAAACGAGGACGATAAATTTCTAAAAATATTAAAACAAAATGGAATGTTAATGTGGAATCTACTCCAAGATGATTACATGACACAACTTAACGTACCAATTTTATTTTAAAATGAAAATAAATAATATAAAAATATATAACTATAAATATAGATAAATATATTTTTGTGAGTGTATATATATACATAAGACTGATACAATTGATGGGACACAGAATTTTATGGAAAAATGCGTTAAATATTTATTATTAATATTAATACGAGCCTCTTTTGAAAACCAAATAAAATGAAGACTAGCAGAGAACAGAAATGTTTTAATTTATATTGATAAGTATTGTTTACATAGTAGATATTCTAACCGTTTTTACCCCATGTCACTATTTTTAAGTATATACTTACTGTGCACAATGATTGCCTTTTCAAACAACGTTTTATGATTGTTTTTCATTTTTTACGATTTAGCTTTTTCCTTTTCGAAAAAAATGTTTTAAACATGTTTTCGGCTCTCATGAGTTACAAAAGTTTATTTTAGGCCAAATATTTTGTATCATAGCCTTATATTATGTCAAATGTAATGTTTTCCAGACCACATTAAAACGTTCTCTGTTTGATGTTGACTGCTATTTTAAAGTAGGACATTTGTTACGTCTTTGCACCCGGGTGAGATACAGTAATTTCATCTCAGGTAACAACTTTCATTGGCTGTCGTTTCAGGTGCTATGCTTAATATTTTGAATTATCGATAACTGTTCAGACTTCCATTTTTTATTTTTGTTAAATTAGGATTAGTGTGAAATAAAAAAATTTTGATTAAAAATAGTTTAAATAGCGCAAAAAGAAATTGGAAACGACAGACAATCAAATTTTTGAATGATAAAATAGCGACAGAAGGTAAAGGAAGTATGCGACCATCCACTGAACATATAATTGTTCTGGTAAAATACTTGTGAAATAACTGATTATAAAGAATTAAAAACCTATTTATAAATTGAAACCACTAAAAAACAGAGTATTTTGAACTGGAGATTAGTCTTCTTCCATTATATCTTCTTCTAAGGCATCAGTTTCATCAATCAGTTCATCAGATTCTTTTACTTCAAATGGCATCACATCTTCGTAATTAATTTTTGGTAAGGTATTTTGCTCTGGATAAATCCAAGGTTTCCAAAGCGGGTCATTATTTGACTTCCAGCTATTATATTTGATGCAGGCTTTGTGGAGTTTGCTAAGTAACTGTCAATTAAAGTATGAATGTGTGTGTATATAATATATATGTACATATATATATATATTGGATTAACACTGTCAGAAATACAATTATTGATGAAAATCAGCGCATGTTCCGTCCGAATATGCTGTGATTTTCATCAATATATTTTATATATATATATATATATAAACACATGAATAAATTGAATAATTTAGCAAGTAGATTTATGAAAAAAATTTCACGTTAAAAAACTTCAAAAAACATCCAGTACCTTTGGTGCAAGTATAGTAGCAGCTTTGTTAACTGCCCATGATGGAAGTTTGCCTACAAATAGTCATCATTTTCAAATGTAATTATTCCTAACAATATTTCACTAAACAAGGAACATTCGTAATCATTTTTTAATTTTTAAACAAACATTTTATAAAAAATTATTAACGCTAACACTGCCAATGTTATTTGATATCATATTTTAACTTTTTTCTGTTATAACAATAAATTTACTTATAATCAGAAAATTTCCTGTTACTCAAATCATTAACAGACTACAAAAAAATATAATTAGAATGAAGATACAACAAAAAATCCGAGTCCACTTCACATCAAACAAATTGTCTACTAAAATAAATTAAAGGAAAACAGTTTTATAAAAAATTAGAACAGAGTAAATCAGAGATCATTTGACTGAAGGGGTATGCGGAGAAAAAAAAAGCCAAGGAGGCGGAGGAGGGTTGCAAGCAAGGTTTTTTATATCGAGTGAGAGGAGAGGTTGGAAGGTGGAAAATAGTGCGGTTTCAGAAGGACACAAAATTAAACTAGCAAATGGTAGGTGTGGTTCTATATATGGTTTAATTGGGTTGGTAAAAAATAATTCTTGTGCTTCGTGGAGAAATGTTGTTGATGGTAAAACTCAGATTAACAAAGTGGTGATTGGGTTGTTGAATGTGAGATCAATTGCGTCTAAGGTGAATGGTATTCATGGATTGATATGTGATGGGCTTGATATCTTGGTGCTTACTGAGACTTGGCATGGTGTGGTTGGTAATAATTCAGTTCGGTTGGCTATGCCACCTGGGTTCTGGTATGTTGATTATGTTAGGCAGCACGATCAAGGTCATGGTGGCTTAATTGTATATTTCCGTAAAGATTTTGGATATAAAAAGTTAGTCTTGCCATTATTTGCTACATTTGAGGCTGTTTCCATCAGGTTTTCGACTAGTGGGTATCAGTTTATTTTACTTGCCATTTACAGACCGGGCTCTGCACAAATTTCTTCTTTGTTTTTTGATGAACTGATATCTGTTTTAGAATATGTTACGATGTTAAATGCCAATATTTTGATGATGGGGGATTTCAATGTGCACATTGAAAGAGTTAATGACATACACACAGTCCGTTTGAATGAAATACTTGATGCATTTCAAATGATCAGTCATGTACATGAACCAACTCACGAGCAAGGTGGTATTCTTGATCTGGTTATTAGTTCAAGCAATTTTCCGATTTTGGGAGTTGAAATATTTCCAAGTGGAATATTTTCAGATCATGGTTTTGTAAAGGTTGAGGCATCAATTGCTCATAGATGTGTAACAACCAAACAGACAGTAAGATCGTGGAGAAATGTGGATGAAGATCAGATTGTTCAGTCAATTGCAAATTCTCCAATATCTGGACCATGCAAAAGTGAAAATGTTGAGAATGAATTAAAATTGTTCAATATGGAATTAAAAGGCATTGTTGACCGATGTGTGCCGCTAAGAGTGATTTGCAAAAGAATTGATAGAAATGTATCATGGTTTGATGATGATTGTCTATGGGTCAAACGATATTGCAGAAAACTTGAGAGATTGTATAGAAGAAGTTTATCAAATGTTCATCGTAAAAATTGGCTTGGTTCATTGAAAACAAAATACAAATTATATTCAGATAAACGCTGTGGGTATTGGAACAATTTGATAAAAACCTGTGGCAACCAAAAGGACCGGTGGCGAATTATAAATAAAATCTTATGCAATGATCGAAGTGAAAATTTATTGGATGCTAATGTCAATCATACAGCTGGTGATTTTATGAAATTTTTCACAGATAAGATTGCAAAGATTGTGCATTCTGTTGATTCATCTAGTGTTTCAACCTCGTTATTAGAAGATAGAGAGTCACCAACTGTTGCATTGACATCATTTCCTGAAATCGCTGAGGAGGACCTTGTGAAGATTATACTTGACTCTCCGTCTAAAACTTGTTCACTTGATATCATGCCAACACACATTTTTAAGAAATATCTAAAGTTTTTTATAAGTTTTCTAACTAGTTTCATAAATCTCTGCTTAAAAAAAGGCATAGTGCCAGACTATTTCAAGCATGCCACAGTTGTTCCGATTCTGAAAAAAGTCGGCAGCGATGACGGGGAAATTGGAAACTACAGACCAATTTCTAACCTACCATTTCTATCAAAGGTGCTGGAGCGTGTTGTAAATGGGTTTCTACTGAAATATTTAACAGACAACGATCTTATGCCAAGGTATCAATCTGGGTATCGACGGTTCCATTCCACCGAAACAGCTTTGTTATATGTTTTATCAAGTTTGTTTGCTGCAGCTGAGGTTCAAAACATATCGGTACTATCATTCCTTGATATGTCAGCAGCGTTCGATTGTGTGGATCATGACATGCTTATAAAGAGATTGGAGTGCAGTTATGGTGTTCTTGGAGTTGCCCGTGACTGGTTCAAGTCATATCTCAAAAATCGTATACAACAGGTCGCTTTTAAAAACACAGTGTCAGATGTATCGTTGGTCTCATCGGGGGTGCCGCAGGGATCTGTACTGGGACCCATCCTGTTTCTGCTTTATACATCAGATATAATAAAAATAATCAGTTCCCACGGATTTGTTTGTCATGCCTTTGCGGATGACATCCAGGTGCTGATCACCGGTTCTTTGAGATCATTTGTAGATGAAATAAACAGATTTAATAAATGTATGTCGGACGTTGGCCGTTGGATGTCCGATAATTCATTGAAGTTAAACCAATGTAAGACTCAGTTCCTCCCAGTTGGGACATGGCAGCAGTTATCGAAGATGAATGTCACTTCAATCAAAGTAGGAGATACAAACATATCCTTTAGTACAACAGCTGTCAATTTGGGGATTCTGCTGGATAATGAGCTATCTATGAAAGACCACATCAGGATGATTTCAGTCTCAGCCATTGCTCATCTTAGAAATTTATATCGAGTCAGACATTTGCTGGATAGATCAACTCTGGAGGATCTGGTCCATGCGTTCATAACATCACGACTGGACTACTGCAACAGTTTGTTTTACGGTTTGCCTAATAGATCAATTGACATTCTTCAGTCGGTTCAGAACAGGGCTGCAAAACTTGTAACTGGCAAATTGAAATTTGACCATGTAACTCCAATATTGAATGAGCTTAACTGGTTAAAAATTAAGAAAAGAATAATTTTTAAAATTGCAGTGATTGTGTTTAAATCCTTGAATGGAATGTCACCGGCTTACATCTCAGATAAATTTTCCATGAAGGCATCTACAACTTGATTTTATCTAAGATCAGATAATATGAATCTTTTGGCGGTCCCAGCTAGGCATCTACGAATAGGTGCGAGAGATATTGCGGTCGCAGGTCCGACAGTCTGGAATGACCTACCAGTTTCATTAAGAAGATCTGGAATTAACTTTGTGACATTTAAAAGGGAATTAAAAACATACTTATTTTCTGTGGAAAAACAATGAATTTGAATATTTTGATTTATATCAATCATGCACAGTTATTTTGTTATTTTATTTTTGATAGCGCTTTTGAAATTATTAATTTGCGCTATACAAATGTTTCTAAATAAATAAAATAAATAAATAAATGACATTGACACAACACATAACGTATCATATCATCATTGTTTCAGCCTAAATTCATCTGACATGTTCATACCCCACCAGCTAACTTAATTCAAGAAAAAAAATATTTTAAAAATTTTCATACATTTACAAAGATTTTCTCATTGACAAACTCTGGAGTATGAACTTTTTTGCTGAATTTAACACAAATTAAAACAAAATGAAATAAAATATTTTATAGGATTCAATGGTGGCATTTATTGGGAAAATAACAAATTAATGCATGTTGTATGCATTTTGATAGAAAGGTAAAAACTAAAAGAAGCTGTAGTCAAATAACAGAAGTAGTTCAAACATTTAATCCATGACTTCATTATTCATGATGCATTCAGTATATTCAATATAAATTAACATTGGTCAACCTCTAGGATCAGATTGAGTGACATAAGTGACTTGAACACCAGGAAGATGACAATCTCCATGTAGGGATGTAATCTGATACCCAGTTATATAAGAAATACCTCGAACAAAATTTTTTTTCAGTGGAATTGCCTAGGAGTAAAAATCAAAAGTTTAAAAGTTACTAACAATTTATATCAGTTTGTGAAAACAGAAAACACAAGCAAAAAAACTAACTGCATGGCTAACTGAATGGTTAAAAATAAGATATTCTTTGCCTAGATCTAGCCAAGATCTTTCTGTAACAAAATCTCTATTCTTCAGTGGTTTTGGAACTTTCACTAAAGGTAACAGATGAATATCAAAATTTCTTCATCACTCCCAACTAGTATATATTTTATTAACTGAAACTACAACTAAATTAACAATTTAAAAAAATTTACAGTGATCTGAAAACTGAAATAAAACACTGACATTTTAAAATAGAAACTAGACAATTCTAATTTTTAAAATTTCATTTTAAAACTTTTATTTATAAAAGATTAGAATATTTCCAAATATTTTTCTTTTCACTTATTTGTCATTACTAAATAAATTACACTTTACAGGCAAACAATTCTTTAACAATAAATTAACTCAATTGAACTTACCCAATGATGATTTAGCAAAAAATTAAAAAAAATTTTTTTAAAAACTTTATTCCCAGACATATTTCAGCAACTGACTTTCGTGCCATTAATTTTTAACAAACAATTTGATAACTTTTTAAATAACTTTTAACTTAAATTGTTAATCAACTCCCAAAAATATAATTCTCTGTGATGTTAATGTTTTATTTTAACTGCATGAAATAGCAGACTCTTTGTAAAATTACTACTTACAATTGATTAATAATATTTTATATAGATATCAGGTAAGCTTTCTTTAAACATGCTTCCAACCTAAGACCATGAATGGCAGGTAACCAGTTGCTAGGTAATTTAACATCAAGTTATTTCTTATTTCCTATTATTATGAAATTAGCTAATTGGCAACAAAACAAATTGTAAATCTCCATTAGATAACATATAACACATTGCCAAAGTGTGTTGATCACTAAAATTACTACTTACAATGAATAATGAGTTACAAAAATTATTTTAAAAAATGTAAACAAACTTGCATAATATCCTATATCGTTATTTGGACTTAATTGACAAATTTCATAAGCTTCTATCATGTTGATATCCCAATTCTTTCGATAAACTGGATCATTAATAACATCAAATACAGTTGAAGCAGTGATGTCTTGAAATATGCTTCTAAGCTGAATACAAAACACATGATTACAAATACAAAGCATCTAGTTTTCAAAAAGTTTTAAAATTAAATTGCTGTTTTTGATTAATTAATCTTAATGATTAATTTAATCATAGAATAGATGATTAATAATTAATCTCTTCAGAATACCAAAATTTCACCAAATCTCATTAATGATAAATAAGATTAATATATTTTTAAAATATATTAATTATTAAACAATTATTTTTTTTTAAATCTTACAACACAACAAGTGCCACCTCATACCTTAAGCATCTTAAAGTCGCACAGATCAGTTGTCTTGGTCCACACCATGATGTTGTTTTTGTTGTATTCAACCTTCCAATCTTCGTGGATTTCACACAAATTTCGTAATTTAGTAAAATCAGCATCTTCCGCTATCTTGACTTCGCCCACTAACATGTTTAAAGTTGACAAAATTTTACACCACCTCCCAGCCGGGTTAGTTTAGAGATCAGTTGCTCAGCGCTGCAGTTAGGAAAACCACTAGAAGACCGACTGACAACACGACATCGACGGTGATGTGTCAGTAAATATTGATAAGATACCGTCGGTTACTTCTGCTTTCATTTTATCCGACTATCCGACCGATAACCAAAAGGTATAGATTAAATATGCTCAGAGGCGGATCCAAGTGGCTGGATGGGGAAATGCAGGGATACATCTCTCCTACCACACCATGACAAGTTTGTACGTACTAATAAATTGGCATTTTCAACATTAAACAGCGTAGAATGTAATGGATATAAACGGAAGATGGAGAGATTAACGGGGATGCATTATCCATATCGAACCATACGAATATAAACATAGTAAAAATATAATACGGAAATAATGATTAAAATCACATTCACAACTTATGTTAAGGCAACAGATAATAACGCTGCTTCCAGTTCTAGGCCACGATTAAAGCCATGGAAATAATTCTTATGCCATATCCACTATCCATGATTAAAGCCTACTTTTTATTTCACTTTCATAATCATTATATATCGATTTTCTAACACTGAGGTATTACTTATAACTTATATATCAGTGTTTTTTGTATAATTAATGTAAATATTATGAATGTTAATATATATGAAAATTAAGTATGATAATTATAAAAGTAATAATAAATGTGTGACATTGAAGACTTTTTTGTTTATAATAAAACGTGCATAGAGAAGAATACGATACAAAATTTTTAGTCTAAAAGTTTATGCCTTCAACAGATAGAAAGATAGAAATGAAAAATAACTGGATGTAAAGATGTAAATAAATTATCTTTGTAGTTTTTGGTTCGATGTACAAATGTTTTTGTTGACAACTTCCTTTTTTCTTTTATACTCTTGATTGCCGTAGACATGTCTAAGAGAGGTTATTATATCCGTTTAATCTTCATAAAGTTTTAGTTTTATTTTGAAATTAAGCATTTTTTCAATTAAAACGTACATGTCATTACCTCCATTTGTTAGGTCGTGGTGGTTCTTCGGGTGGTAAGTTCAGAATCACGTTGGCTCTTCCCGTTGGAGCTGTTATCAATTGTGCGGATAATACGGGTACTTAGTTTTTCTTTTTGAACAATTTTTCAATTCAATAAATTTTACAAATTTAGTTAAGTTGAGGACTCATTTTAGTTAAAAGATTTGGATTGGTTTTTTACATTTTTTAAAGTGGTTGATTATTTAAGATTTAAGAAGAGTAAGCTCTCAAATAACAGCAATGATACTAACCTAGTTAAAATTAAAGCATTGTTTTTTTGGTATCCTTTTCATGATTTTTTTGGAATTATGAATAAATCTGCTTCTAAAAAAATACAAATACAAGAAAGCTAACACAATAAAAAATTAGGTTTGCCCATTTAATTATCTATAAGGGTCGTACATAAGATAAGGGATATAAAAGGTATGATTTTTTGCAAATTGCTTTGCCAAAGCAAAATAATTAGTGTTTTATCACTTACAGATCTTAAGTTCTTTAAATTGTTACATTTCACTGCATATATTGAATTCATTATTATCAGTTTGCATTTGATAGTAAAAGTAATGCAGCTCAACCCATGCATAGCTTTTAAGCTGATAGGTGCGGGTTGGCATTTTGAAAATTTTTTAACTGCCTGGACATTGTTTTAGATTCAGAAACATTTTTAGGTTGACGTGCATACATATTATTTTATATTAAAGCTTTTGCCACCTTGATTGTCATATGCATATTTGTATGCACTCGTAAGCATTTTGTCACACATGCATGGTGTGTTTGAATTTTCTAGACAACATTTAAAATTTTAAACCAGGCCATCACATAATGCAAGATGTGGCACTTATAAAGTCGTAGCTAAATTATCAATTACATAAAGAATGAAAGATACGTAATTATTGTTTGTACCATTTTTATTCAACATGTTATCTGGTGAAGCCTTATCAAACTGACATCTAATTTTTTCCTATGAATGCTACTTGTATGTCAGAATTAACCAGCATTCATGATTTGGCAAATGTGCTTTAGCTTTTGGCAGTACATTTTCTAAACAATCATGACTTCTAATTGTCTTAACCCTCCAATGCATGACTTAAAATTTTTTTGTGATTTTGAAATATTTTATTTAGCATAGTTTCAAAACATCAAAAAAGCCAATTAAAATGAAATTTTAAAAAAATAAAGTAAGTTATGATCAAAAAACAAAGTGTTCCTAAAAAGGTACGTTATGAGTTAATACTCATGGTAAATCATTTCCTGTGAAAATGTTCAAAGCATTCCAAGTGTAGGGCAACATCACATTTTAAACATTTCTTTGATACTTTCTTGTGGCACAATTTACATCTTTTTCGTCCATCCGAAATTTTTCCAATGAAATTTTATTTCATTTTCAACGTTAAGGTTTACTGATTTTCTTTTCAGATCTTCTGGTTGGTTTTGCCCAAATATAGTTTTGGCAACACTTCTCCTGAACCCAGCATAAGTGTGATTTTCATGCTTTGAGTATTTTTTGGAAATGCACCAAGCATTATGAATGCTAGAATCCAAAGCGAAAGCAAAAAGCGGCCACCACCATTTTTTAATCCGAATATTGGTGCGCAAATTTTCAATGTTTTGATCCATCCTGTCAGTTCCACCCATATATTTATTATATTGATTTATTATATATGGCTGGGATATTAAAACATGCTTCTTGTTTGCTGAAGACCATCTTTTCACTTCCTTCATTGGTTCCAGCCCATTGCAGCTTGACAAGATAGAAACCACACTATTGTCATTCCATCTAACCGCAATAATATTCGAATCACTATCTGTAAAATAGTCAGATGTGCCTCTAGGTAATTTTTTCATTTCTTTTATATCCATCAATGGACATTTCTCTATTCGGTTAATTCTAACTGTACCGGTTGCATAAATATGATTTTCTTTTAGTCGTTCAATTAATTTGAACGAAGTGAAAAAATTGTCAAAAAATAAATGATATCTCTTATCATCAGGAAGGCATGATGTCAGTTTTTTAACTACTGATCCACCGAGTCCTAAATCTGGATCATAATCTTCAGTGGCTCCTTGATAGGGTTCACAACTCACTAAATAACCGAGACGATTATTCATGCACCAAATTTTGAATCCGAATCGGATAGGTTTACCTCTTATAAATTGCTTAGAGGAATGCCTACCAAAATATGGTATCATGGACTCGTCAATTGATAAACAAGTTTCTTCTGGCCAATATTTTAAAAATCTTTCATTTAACATATTAAACAGAGGTCGAACTTTGGCAATTTTATTTTTTTTGTCAATTTTTTCGTTATCGCATGTGTGTAATATCTGAGAAGTTCCT